AGGCCACAGCAGTGAGAGGCCCGCGTATTGCAAAAAAAAAAAAAAACACAAGTTGGCACTGAGCTACAGATAATTGCCTCATATTCTGGCCCAGGGAAACTTTACCTTGTTTTGGTGCAGAAAGCAACTTCAGTACTTCACAATAAGTTAGTCTAGGATTTAGGTTACAGGAAATATTTTCAAAACAGTCTGCCTGAATCAACAAACAAACAGGCAAAACCCTTGATGTAGGTAGGGTAGTTATATAATCATGTAGGGTAGCTATATAATCAATCATCCAAACCAGGACCCTTTCAAGAATGGAAAGGGGCGGCACTATGAATAATTTTGCTGAGACAATAGGGATAACTGGGACTGCCAGGGGAACCAAGTCCAATGGCTCCCTTCTCCTTACCCAGTAAGAAAGTCATTTCAATCACACATCTCTGTGGGCCAGCTACAACCCCAAACAACCTGAACGTGACCAGGACATACTTGCACTTGCCAAGGCCCAGCCTCCTCCGTGAATGTAAACAACGCTGCGTTTCAGCGGCTCTTCTGGCTTTGCAGAGCCTTCAAACACTCTGACTTCCACACCGTCAAAGTCAGTGTCTGTTACTTTCACCTGAGCAGACGACCATGCGCTTTTCTTGCCAAAAGAAATGATGATGAAGTTCAGCACGAGCAGATGATGGCTGAGGCCCAAGTAGTGTATCAGGTTACTCTGCAGGATGAGGGGGGAATGAGGGAGAGTGTGTGTCAGCTAAGTTATCACCTGAGCCACACTCACCAACCCTTCAGTATTCGAATTCTTACAAGCAATTGCCGCTGCCCTTGAGGACTCACTGGCTACTTTTAATACAATAACAAGTCATATTTACCTTTATTTTCATCTGAAAATATCAGAGTAAATCTCCTTTGATCTTCAGATAGTGTCTGAGAGGGAAATGTGTCATCAGTCTCATTTTATCAAGAAGGTTTAGAAATTAGCTGAACTTGCCCGTTTCGCTGGATAAACGGCAGTTCTGCGACTCAAACCTAGGAACTGTGAATTCCAGGATTCAGTCCCTTCCCCCGACCCCTGCCCACCCTAAATCAGCACATCACAGTTCCAATAACATACTAGGAACGGAGGAAGAATACTTTATTTGAATACAAATAGAAGAGAGGGGAGTTTTATATTTACTATAAGTATTTTTTAAGTGTTTTTAAGCTTATATATTTAAGTGTGTCTGGTTGTTTTGAGAGTAAGAGAAAGGAATGAGTGTGTGAGAGGGAAGGAGCAGAGTCAACTGCAGTCCTGGCAGACCAGCTCAGACATAACCAGGAGCTTTGCAGAAAGGTACAAAGAACATGCAGCCTGTTGTCGCTTCACTTCTGAGCCCTGAGGGCACTGAGTGCTGCATTAAGTGTTCACAGGAAGTTATCTGGTTGGAGAGGAGACCCAGGCCATCCACCCAGCAAAGACCCTGTGGAGTGTATTCCCTCTTTCTACTTCTTATACAAGCTCTTCCTATTGAGTACACTTATAAAACTGACCTCCCTGCGAGACCTACTGGCCATGTTTCAAAGTCAGAGAATTAGAAGCCATCTGGAAGCCAGTGACTAGTTAAGGTAGAGAGGCCCAGAAGTGTCACAGTGATTAGAAACCTTCCCAGCACAGGCACGTGAACTCAGATACTGTATCGCCTAGTGGCTCTCAAACCTTGAAGGGGAGCAGCTGGAGAGTAACAGTGCCCTTCTGAACGCTGATGATTAGTGAAATATTTAATGCCTTCATAAGATCAAGAAAACAATGTTACTAACAGAAATGAGAACTGAAGGCAGTCTGCAATACACCATAAAACAGCTTCCCAGCATGTACATGGGGCACACTGGTATGCCTTGAAGAGGATACAGATGTGCTGTGATACTGATCCCCTCAGCCCCTGGACAGCCAAGTTCCTGAGCTGTTTACCCCAGTGTCCCATATAAAATTGTATACATATGCCCTGCTGTGAAGAGTTGGAAAGACTGCATTATAAAACCATTAGCGAGTGTTCATGAAAAACAAGAACAAGAGGCAATTTATTTAACCATGAACAGCTTTTCCAATAATCCTATTAATATTCATTTGCTGGAAATATAAGCAACAGGAAAGCAAATGAATATTAAGAAAATAATTCAATTTCTATACGTACAATTGACCAATTTATTGAAAAAGTTAAAACAACTGTTAACGTTCTCGATACGAAACAAACAAATGTGAGTGTGTGCGTGCACCCTAACCACAAGTTTAAGGGTTTAAGGTCTTCGGCAAATTGGGAAAAAGCAATCATCACTTAAGGTTTGCGGTAACACGTCAGTCTAACTTGGGGAATATGGAGATCTGCCAGGGCATGGCTGAGAATGTATTCACTAAGATTTCTAGAGCTCACACAATAAACCCTTGTCAATTAACAGAGAACACGCAAGATCCATTCCATTTCTCACAGGCCAAGTAGCTTGATAGGCATCAAATAATAAACTATGAACAAAGAAATGGCAGGCTTGGCTCTGTTACTTTTTGACTACATTTTTTGTTTTTAGTAGGAAAGCTATAAAACAAGTGAGTTGCCTTTACAAGGCAGATTAGAGTATTCATTTTCATAGAATCCACCCCGGGTTTCCTTTATGTGTACTGCATGCTCTGAGTGCATGCAGACTTGCCTCAATCTGCCCATACCTTTCCAGAAGCACCTCTGCTGTATTAGCTTATGAGCACTTGCATTAATAGAATTTCTGAACAACTATCTGCATTGTTCACAACATTGACAGGGTGGTGTGGGAGCAGAAGTGCTGATTGGAGAAGGGACAGTTTGTTTATGAAGGAGAAAAAGATAAGCAGATGGGTGTAAGAAAGGCTGGATGGGTGGGAAAAGAAGAATCCAGAAAGGTGTTAAAATAAAATTGTGCTAATGTTTGGAATTGTATTGATAAGTTAGAGAATGAAAAATCATTATCCTACAGACAATACTGACTTTGTTTCAAAATTTGAAAATGAAGAGAATCAAGCAGTAATCTGTCATTAACCAATTTATCATTACTATTATTAATAATAATAGTTATCACTGGCTGAGTGCCTACAGTATGAGAGGTTGTTGAAGTCTGGCTACAATTCTGTTATTTTCCTCCTTGTGAAGAAGAGAGAAGAGAAGTTTAGAGACTAAGTAACCAGTATAGAAGCTGGATTCCTCGAACTATGAGAGGGCTGCAGGACATACAGAATTACCCTAGAGATGCTGGTTGAGAACAATGTGGGGCCAGGAAGCTGCTCTGAGTCCTATCCAGGATAGGATGACATTCATATGTGTATGTGCTGTCATGTGGCATGATAAAACTGTGAATGGTATCTAACTTTTTTCCCTAATATCTGTTTCCCTTAGCTCCTCTCACTACTCCCCTCCCATCCCTACTGTCCAACAGGTAAAATCAGTAGCCAAGCCTTTATGTAGTTGTTACTTCAGGGAAGGGATATGAGAACAAATAGCAAAGAAACAGAAATGTCTTCCTGCTTTTGATTTTCAAAACCCTATATCCTTTGGAGAATTAAAAAAGACATTGATTTAGGAGATTACATGATGAATAAGAAGTCTCCTAGAATAGGAAGTGATTCTCCGAGCTAGGTGGTGGAAGAGGGGAGGAGAAATTATTAGAGATGAAATGAGGAATGAATGGATTGATATCTGAGATCCAATGAAAAAAGAACCTTGGGACACAGCAACCCTCAGATATGTCTATGGAATCTGAGAGCAACAGACATGTACCCCATGCCCAGACAGAACCGTGGAAAAAGGCAAGACTCTAGGGAAGAGTGACCGCAAGGTATGCTTAGGAAGGTGGTGCCTCAAATGACCTCAGAGAGCCCCTCAGGCTCCAGCTTGTGCAGGAGCAGCAGAATGGCTCCATGTGTCTAAAAAGGCATAAAAACAGGAAGGCTGCATGAGTGTCTTGCAGATGGGTCTGAGACAACCTCTCCGTTATCCGTGGCCCACTACATGTTCTCAAGGGTCTAACAGGAATAGAAGAGAGCACTAATGGACCTGAAGGGCTCTTATAAATAAGAACAAAGGATATCCCAGGGCAACTTGTAGGAACCAAACACCATGGGCCAGGTGGAACATGAATGTGGGCTAAGGATGAGTACCCAGATGGCTCCCCCCATGCATTATGCATCAACATCACATGAGACACTTCAAAACCTAAAAGAAAACAGTGATGGGGGAATACCTAAATTCACTGGAATTAAGTTCTACCTAAAGAATGAAGGCTCAAAATATAGATCAAGTTATATTTCTTGCATCCTTGAGTTTGTGAAATGAGATTCAGATCCACCCAAGAAACATTCTCTAGTTAACAAAGTTTCCTGAAACCTATTTAGAAGTAGCTGGAAAACTCCAGTAGCACAAAGAAGCAAGCCAAGTGTTAAGAATTTCACAGGTTGTGAATTGACCCAGGCTTGGCTAGATGCAGTACTCCAGGGCAGTACTAGAGGTCTTAAAACTTGCCCCATAACCATTTCAGGCTCTAGAAGGGAATTCTGCCTGAGGAGGTGGAAGGGATGAAGGGTACTCATTACACCTCAGTAGAACCAGATACAGCAAAATAGGTGGCCACTGGCTCCCTACCCAGGTCTGATGACCAAAGGTTAGAGGACAAGCAAAAATCAAAGGCAGCCAAGCAGAATCTATACTCTGCTTATTAAAACATGTTCGTTGTTAGTTTATGAATGGGGTTGTTCTCTGCTAATTCATTCACCATACAAATTAGAAAAGCTATTCAACGGGCAGGGAAACTTAAGGGGGAGAAAAAGACCATCCTCTGGAGCTCAGGGAAACAGAGGAGAGCCAAGACTTGTAAATGAATAGCTGATGTTAGTTAAGCAATACAAGCTTAGTAAGAGAAGCCTAGATAAAGGGTTGCACAAGCCCAGAGAAGGAAGGAATTACTTGTGTCTGTTCGTTCTGGGATGAAATCCGATACGGCATCTATTCTGAATTGTGCCTTAATAGAAGAGGAAGTGCGAGTAGCAAGGAAAAGGATGGGAATCCAAAATGCCAAAGTGTCGGGCAAGTGTTATAATTCAAATGCCTATGGGAAGAAAAGCTAAGTAAGGCAAGTGTAGGCAGGGGGAGCCGGCAATAAAAGGCTCAGTCTAGGAGGCAGGTAGAAAGCCAAAGTCAGCAGCACAGACTGCAGACTAAATACCTGGTTAAAAGCCCAGCTCCCCCGCTTTCCAGCAGTGGGGTCTTGGGCACGTTCTTCACCCTCTCTGTGCCTCAATTTCTCATCTATAAAACAGAAATGACATACTAACTGGTTCAAAATACTGTTGTGAAGCTTAAAAAAGTAAAAACCCCTAGAACAGTGCCTGGCACATACCAAGCCTTCTATGAGTTGGTTATCGTTACTGTCACACCTCTGATCTGGAAGATCACTGCATGAAGAAATGTGAGCCCAGGGACAGATAGCTCAATGTTTCCAGGGAAGCTGAGACTACCATTTTCTCCCATTGTGTACATTTGTTATTAGGACTCCAATGATCACCAAGTTCTGAAATTACTACAGGTGAAAAAGATGTCAAATAGTTATTTCTAAAAAGTTCATCTGTACGCTCATGTCAAAGTGGGAGGGAGAGGTGGGGAAAAGCCATAGTACTCTGATATTCCATACACATCAATAACTTAGCATGTGGTCAAATTTCAA